TTTGGAAGAGGCACTCTTTCTCATCATAACTATGCACTTAGTTTATTTAATACCTAGGAGCAGAGAAGAAGATTTTCAAAGAATTCATGTATTTTCACTATATAATCAATAGAGCCCCCCCCCCACCCCAACACCAGAACCCTTGACCCTGGGGCCATAAAATTCACAATTTTGGTAGAGGCACTCTTGCTTATAATAACTATCCACTTAGTTAGTTTATTTGATACCAAGGAGCAGAGAAGAAGATTTTCAAAGAATTCATGTATTTTCACCATATAATCAATAGAGCCCCCACCCTAACACCAGAACCCCTGACCCTGGGGCCATAAAATTCAAAATTTTGGTAGAGGCACTCTTGTTCATCATAACTATGCATGTAGTTAGTTTATTTAATACCTAGGAGCAGAGAAGAAGATTTTCAAAGAATTCATGTATTTCACTATATAATCAATAGAGTCTACCCCCCCCCCCCCCCCAAACACCAGAACCCTTGACCCTGGGGCCATAAAATTCACAATTTTGATAGAGGCACTCTTGCTGATCATAACTATACACTTAGTTAGTTTATTTGATACCAAGGAGCAGAGAAGAAGATTTTCAAAGAATTCATGTATTTCACTATATAATCAATAGAGCCCCCCCTAACACCAGAACCCTTGACCCTGGGGCCATAAAATTCACAATTTTGATAGAGGCACTCTTGCTTATCATAACTATGCACTTAGTTAGTTTATTTGATACCAAAGAGCAGAGAAGAAGATTTTCAAAGAATTCATGTATTTTCACCATATAATCAATAGGCCCCCCCCCCCCCACACCAGAACCCTTGACCCTGGGCCGGGGCCATAAAATTCACAATTTTGGAAGAGGCACTCTTTCTCATCATAAATATGCACTTAGTTTATTTAATACCCAGGAGCAGAAAAGAAGATTTTAAAAGCAATGATGCATTTTCACTATAAAATCAGTAGAGCCCCCACCCCAACACCAGAACCCCTGACCCTGGGGCCATAAAATTCACAATTTTGGTAGAGGCACTCTTGCTTATAATAACTATCCACTTAGTTAGTTTATTTGATACCAAAGAGCAGAGAAGAAGATTTTCAAAGAATTCATGTATTTTCACTATATAATCAATAGAGCCCCACCCCACACCAGAACCCTTGACCCTGGGGCCATAAAATTCAAAATTTTGGTAGAGGCACTCTTGCTCATCATAACTATGCACATAGTTAGTTTATTTAATACCTAGGAGCAGAGAAGAAGATTTTCAAAGAATTCATGTATTACACTATATAATCAATAGAGCCCCCCCCCCAACACCAGAACCCTTGACCCTGGGACCATAAAATTCACAATTTTGATAGAGGCACTCTTGCTCATCATAACTATGCACTTAGTTAGTTTATTTAATACCTTGAGGCAGAGAAGAAGATTTTCAAAGAATTCATGTATTTTCACTAATAGTATATAATCAATAGAGCCCCCCCCCCCAAACACCAGAACCCTTGACCCTGGGGCCATAAAATTCACAATTTTGGTAGAGGCACTCTTGCTCATCATAACTTTGTACTTAGTTGGTTGATCTAATACCCACGAGCAGAGAAGAAGATTTTCAAAGAAATAATGCATTTTCACTGTATACTTATTTAGCCCCGCCCTAGCACTAGAACCCCTGACCCCAGGGCCATGAATTTCACAATTTTGGTAGAGGACTCAATGCTGATTACAATCATGCAAATAGTTTGACTGCTTGGTGTCCAAGAGTAAAGAAGAAGATTTTTAAAGATTGCATTATTTTTAGTGGTTTTGGCCCCACCCCTCAGGCCCCAGGGGGGCAGGGATCATGAAATTCACAATTTTTGTTCCCCTTCACCCAAAGATGCTTTGTGCCAAATTTGGCTGAAATTGGTTCAGTGGTTGCAGAGAAGAAGCTGAAAATGTTCAAATGTTAACACACGACGCACGACGGACGACGGACGACGCACGACGACGGACGAAAACGGATAGCAATAGGTCACCTGAGTTTACTCAGGTGACCTAAAAATTATAAAGGACTTTTATTTTACCTTTGCCAGGGCCCCCAATATTTACTAGTGTAGCAGACAGTATATAGGGAACTTATACTGCCTCGCTAGTAAGCTAGGTTTTTAGTGATGCAGCGTGCATGGCAGCGTAGTGACTCTGGTGTCTGGTGCCCTGCTTCAGGAAGACTTGGAGCTAGGACTTAGTGTCCATTTACAGACTTCATGTCTGTGGACGGCAGGGGTCGCCGTAACTGTAGAGGTTCCGACATGCTCCAGGAAGCTCTAAGGCTAGGACTTTGTGTACAGGTGCGAACTTCGTGTCTGTGAACGGCATTGGTTGCTGGTACTAAAGAGGCCCAGACACTCAGAGAGAACTCATGCTAAGCTTCGGGTCGAAGCTTCCCTGAGCGGGGGAAGTGTAGCGGACGGTATATAGGGAACTTATACTGCCTTGCTTAAAAAAAGTGAGCTACGTTTTCTAGTCTCTCTCTCTATTTCAGGCAAGTTAAGCAACTGCAAGCCTGTTTAACCCTTGGATGGGTGATGGCTTCAATTCAATCCTGAATGTTTAATGTCTAGTTTCAAACACTGCACCCTGCTTTTTAGTGAATATGACAATGACAATGTAACAGTCATCCTAAATACTTGGCATTGGATGTTCTGAAAAAATCTGCATAAATTTCATACAAGCAGAATTCACAGTTATAATTATTATTTAAAATAAAATGTTCAGTATACACCAATGAAACTTCATGTCGATTAGTAGTTGCAGAAATTGTAACATTATGGTTTTATTTTCTAGTCTTTGACCAAAATGCTACAGATACTATATTGCAAATATGGTGCAATTTACAGTGCAAGATTTTCTAGGCACGGTTGTGGCTGTATTTTTCTACATTCTAGCATAGAACATTTAAATATCATCACTTAATATCTTCAACTCCCTATTTCTAGACATTTTTAAAGCAACCTGTAAATTTTATCTACCTTCTAACCCTATAAAATCACCTACACTGACCAGAAAACTTTTGCTTTGAATTTTTTTGTTGCAAGTTAGAAAAATCAAAACAAGTGAGTTTATTAGTCTGTAGAGATGATTAGGGTTAGGAGTTGGATAAAATATACAGGTTGATATAAAATATGTCTAGAATAAAGAAATGAAAGGTAGTTGATTGTTCAATGCTAAAAAAAAAGAGAATTACACCTTCAACTGTGCAGTGAATCTTTCATTGTAATTTGCATAATATTTGCATTTCGGGATCTGTAGCATTATGGTCAATGCTAAAATATAAAACCATATCATTACAGTTTCTGTAGCTAGTCGTTGAGGACAACAGTGAAAAAGTGTTCACTGAGTCACCCCTTGAAAACTATTGTCAACCCTGGTGTCGTGAATATTTTCAATGTGTCTTCAACATTTAACAGTATATTTATATTTATATAAAAAATAATAATTAACCTTTGTAAAAAGAGTCAATCATTGTTAAATATTGTTGTGGAAAATATCAAATCACTGCCCTGGATGGGCATTGGCCCTTCAAGCAATGCCTGATTTTTTCAATCTTCAATCTATGTATCTGAAATATACATAACATTAAACAAATCTTTTCCCTTTCATTTTGAAGAGAGTAATTCAATTTCTCCTTCCAGCTTTAGATCTCTACCCCAGTCTACACCATAACATGCCAATATCAGTTGTAGGATTTTTAATCATAAACGTATCGTCGAGATGCTGAGAGTAACGTAAGAGGATTATATTAATGTAATTTAAATAAAATCAATTTCGGATTATGTTTCTTGCGAGCCTGGCATTTCTACCTTTTCACTTCACTCAACATAAACACGGAAAGGACGGAATTAGTGATATGTATTTCTACATCAATGCATACCCCAAGAAATCAATAGTGTGTACATGTATAATACAACTTTACACAATCATGAGAGAAAAAGCAAAGCTTGCCGAGAAAATTCTCAGTTGATAATTAAAATCTGCCGCCCAGGATGATACATGCAAAGTGTGTTCGTACTGATTGATTTAGAAGAGAAAATTAATATACGTTATTATTTTATAGAATACACAAACAAAAGGTACAACAGATTTAAGGTTTATCTCTGAGTGAATCTTTAAGTTTTCTATGAAAATATAAACATCATTTCCTTATTGCCGTTTCAAAGTACTGTAAATCACTTTTTTTTTCATGAGAACTTTAATTATCATTTTACATTCTTATGTGAGTTTGTCTGATTGCGAAAATTACATTTATGCATAAATATGCAATAGTAAGGATTATATACAACAAAAATCCAAACTCGCGAAAATTTTGTCTCCCTTATAAATACCTTATAGCTCACTCTCCAAAATAAAGTGTCTTGAAAATATAGTGATTTACAGTACACTGGCAAAAGGGAGACAACTCTACTAGGACTGTATCAATATATCGATACGTATCGATATTCAAGAAAAATATTGTATCGAAAAATAACTTCCAATACGTATCGGACAAGCAGTTTTTCTTCTAATTATGTTAAAAAGATGGGAATCTCATTCACCAAAGATTATATTTCACCTTTTTTCAAATAAAACTAATGAACAATTATAGAATAATTGAGAAAATAACACAGTTTTTAGAATTATTACAAAATACATATACAACTTTATTTTAACAGGTTGATTTTACAGTCATTAAAAATTTTAATTTGAAGTGTTATTTGTTAAGACAATGAGACAAGAACTTTGAAATGGGTAATTAAACACTTAATTTTTATGAAATTCATGCATTAAATGATCTATAAGCCTTTTTTGATGGACTTGCTTTAGAATCCAATATATCGCATATCGCTTTAAAAAATATTGTATCGTATCGTATCGAAATTGTTTGCTCAATACACAGCCCTAAACTCTACAATAAATTGACTGATGACTAAGTGGCTTTATTTTCCTGATCCTGATCAGTAAAGAGTGTTCCTACTTACTTCTTTTTTTGCCTTCTCCTGCTAATGATTATTTAAAAGTTGCTGTTTCATCAAATTCAGCATCTGAATCTTCTCCTTTACCTGTAAAATTAATTTTTTAAAAATGTATATGTTGTGGTATTACATACAGTATGTTCACATTAGAAATTTGATATCATTAAGTCAAAAGATGCTGGACATTAAGCAAATTTCTTTTTCCCCAAGGATGTTAGGAGTTATCCCTCTTCCATTGCTGTCATAATGCAAATGATAGATGTAAAAACTGACTGTACTCATTGAAGATAAATCATATCATATAATGAACTTGGAAAATGAAGCCTTTATAAAAATCAATCTTCTTTCCACTGGTAACCCTCTTCAAAGACACTGACTCTTTTAGAACACAGGGGCTTCAAAGGTTTATCATAATGGCTTGCGGTAGAAAAAGTGGATTTCACTTTCATCATAATTATGGAGTTCCTGATAAGACTTAATGAAAAATTTTGTCCAGGGAAGGAGAAAATTACCCGATAATCAACACCTGATTACGTTCTTGCTTGAAAACACAAAATCTATGAACATTGGACATGGCATAGTGACAAGGTATACCCTTCTACCTCATTGATATAAAAAGTGATGTATCCTAAAAAATAATGACAGCTTTAGCTTTAACAAGATTCCTACAAAAATCTGGCATTAAAGTGTCATCACGCTTCAGAGTAAGAATTCACTAATGAACCTGAACATAATTTATCTATGCTTGGTGTAAAAAGAAAATTTTCCAGACTTTTTACTAAATGTGTTGATATATTATGGAATGAGTATGATTGTGAACCAGAAATCATCATAACTTTCTTTGACTGATTAATGTACTCTTGTTAATTGGAACCAGTTATTTTCATCGATAACAAAAAGAAATTTTGATATTTCCCCCTTTGTAACATGCCCCTTTTCAAGTGGGATTTTACTACACTAATCCCCCCACAATTATGTTTTCACACCGGCCAGAACACACCTTGCCTGTCAACTGTGAGAAGTTGTAAGACCACAGCCTAATGGAGGAGACATGGAAATCCAATATCTCCCCTTGTCAAAGCCTTTCAATCAAAGCCTGATTTTCCAGGTCCACAGGGGTTTGCTCAGTGATCACTTCACACCAGAGAAGTGGGATACAATGACAGGACTCATCTAAAGCTCCCACTGCTCAATAATCACCGGGCAGGTCTATCACAGGCTCACAGAGTCTGCGACAGTCGTCAGGGGAATATAACATTACTACTGTAGTCATATCATCACTGAGAAAATGTAGACATAATATGAAGTATCAATAGGATTCTTATTATTAAAAGTATTTCTCTCTCACCAAAGTTGTTAACTGTTTAAGTGACCCATGGGCTACAACTCTAACCCGACTAGCCTTGGTCCTGCTGTTTACATGTAAAATTTGAATCCTACATTGTGATCTGACCCTAGCTCATGGGAGCCATGACTTACCACACCTATATTTTCATGTACAGTAAGATTGGAATCCCTATTAGTCCCCACTTTCAATATAGTTTGAAAAACTATATGACTCCACAGAACCCCAAGAAGCTTGCTGTTCAATATGACTAACCACGGCTTTGATCCTCTTAAAAAGGTTTCAAACAATTTTTTTTACTTATATTTCTATGAAAAGTTTTATCCCCTACCCCTAGCCCATGACCCCCCACCCCCACCCCTCCCCAGGGGGCCAGGATAGAGATTGGTGTAGATACTCATTTAAACAATTTTGAATCCTACTTATACCCAAAGCTGTTTGGTTGGTTGAAAGTAGGGTTTGCAGATGGAAGGGCAGACAAACAGACAAACTGAAGTCAGACAGTGGATAACCAGAAAAGCTCACATGAGCTTATAAAACTCAGGTGAGCCAAAAAGATGCAGTTATTTAATTTTACTAAATAAGGAAGTCTCAATCACCAATCCACCTCAGAAAAACTAAAGTGTTGAATTTTCCAATTAGGGACTATGCTGATGTGATTTTTTCCTATAAATTAAAGCTATTTTCCACAGACACTATTTATCAAAGAGTGGATAATTTTATTGTATTCCTTATTTGTAACAGGAAATTCTTCCATTTAAGAAGAAATCTGATCAAACGCTGGTAAGACTTTGATCAGCTGGACTCTTTGGCATTAAGCCTCCGTTTTATGGACTCTACGTATCACTTTCCGATGATGAGCTTGACACATGCCTACTCTCTGTGTTGTGAGCTGATCCTAGCAGGAAAACACGGGAAAATTACCATATCATAAATCAATTATCGCCTTCACCACCAGCAATCTTCGACCTCCCCAGGGGAGGCAACCAACAGACATTGATTTGGCGCACTGCAACTTTATAGCAGATACAGGATTGTAGAATACATGCCATAATTAGACCTATACATCACATAAATAAGTCACAGTCCCTTTTTTTGGATCATTTTTGGTATGGATTTTTTAATGGAGTGATAGGAACTTTTTATAAATGGTGGGGTTATCTGAAGTATATCAGGAAATACCTGAGTGATGTCTGACACATTAAGACAATGAACTTCCATGTGTTTTGAGAAAGATTCTTCAGTAATTAATTAAAAATCCACCCTTATTTCATTATGGTTGATATGCACCAAAGCAATATACAAAACATGACACAGTATAATATTTCTTTCTACTTACTGATGGTCAAATGATAGAGAGATCTCCAAATACTCCCCATGAAATTTTTGTCCTCCTTTTTTTACAAATGAAAGATATATTTTTCTGTTTAAATGGTAATAATTATATATGAATGTGCTTAAATTTATAAAAAAAAATCTATGTACCCCTAAGCCCCCTACACACATAGACAAAATGCCATGAAGGTGAAGTGAATTTGACAGCAGTGCAATGTAAAGATTTTGTCACTGCCATAAATTGGAAACATTCTCCAATCATCGCATGCAGATAAGTAAATTCTTGTCACATTCTGTCAAAGTGAATTAATCTGGGGACTCACACAAGAGGGGATAATACTAAAGCTGTAAATCAATACCGAAGTTCTTGGGTGAAGATCCCTGACAGGAAATTGAGACCCTGCTGTCTCTTTTTCTTTCCTCTCGTAAAGAACCAAATTTCCACTCCAGCAACTTTCCTCAGGTCTTCAAGTAGACTAAATATTCAATAATGGAGGAGGTTTCCATGGCAGCATTTGTTTCACCTCAGTAAATGGAAGCTGGGTGAAAACAGCTAGAGCTTGTAAATCAACTCATTTATTTTTTTTGCCATCAATTTTACTTTGAAATTTGATCTGTACTCCCTAGCAACCCTGCTTAATTTTTAAGTACAACAAAAATTATTTTTCATTTTAAAAGTTTACTTTTGACCAAAATTAATTTTCTATGTGCATCAGAATTTTCTCCTTCCACAACTTAGTTTGTTGGATGTAACATGACCTAGCTGTTCACACATAGTCTACAACAAAAATTTCAATAAAGGAATATTTCAGAGAGTTTTCATTAAGAACCTTCCCTTCTTTTTCCCAAAAGTGCTTATACCATTTATTAAAAAGTATTTAAGTATTTTCACACATAAAATGGGCTCAAATCTATATTAAATTTCATCATATTAATTTTCCCCTATTTACTTACAATTAACAGTTTCATGTAATACATTAGCTGATGCAGCTCAGAACTTCATTTCTTGCTCCTGAGCTTTTTATTTGATCTATGTACAATATATCCGATAAATAAAATTTTATTCCTACTTTTACTAAATATTTTTTTCCTAGGAAAGATTTGCTTATTCTTCCCATGTTATATGTGCCTCTTTCATCTTATTCCACAAGATAAACAGTACAAAACAGTGACATAAAGTCTAAAATATGATACTAATTTGTACATAAATTCAGACGAAACATATGCCTATGCAATAAATTTGTGCTTTAATAACCTACAAAGATGCACATTATATTTAGATTAAGAGAAAGGAGAAATCCTTTTCAAATAAGTTGGTAAGAACATGAAAACGATCAATATCAATTAAGTTGGATATAATGTCATTCCTCCTGCAGGTGCTCTCGTCTGATATTGATGAAGACATACATTCTGATAATTTCCCTTCGATTGCTCAGATAACTGCTATTAGTCTTTTCTCCTTCTTAATGAACAGTGAGACCTGATGAGTGATGGTGCACACAGTTATAGAATCATTAGTTTTACCGACTCCTGTGTGATGTATGGCATCATTCTATCCAGGGGCTAGTCTTATTTATCAAAGTAACCCCCTCCCCCTTTTCAATATCAAAGAAAAAAGGTAAAGGATATGAAACCAATATATATACAGTTAAACTTCAATATCTCATATACCATGGCTAAGTCAGATTTGTAAGTCCCTGCCACATAGTTTATGTACATTTACCTAAATATCTCAAATGTTCTACGTCCCATAGAGCTAAAGAATAAATGTATTTATTTATTTTTATATTCATTTTTGTGTTCAATTATTAATAAATCATTTTCTAATTTTTCTTGCATCAAATACTTGTGAAACATTGAAATACAGAATCACTCTTGACTGAATATTAAGGATAACATTAAACAACCTCCTTCTATTTGCAAGTGTTATTTTAGATTAAATATGGCATCATGTCCAAACTAGGACCCTAGTACTGGCATCTGAATCCCATAGGATGCTGTACAAACTCAGTCATCACCTTTTTAACTTTTACAACATGATTTCCGAGCTGCCATTCAGTTGCCTTTAATTTTCCAAACCATTACGTAGATAACTGCGACCTTTAAATAGTCATTCACATTGACGGCTCATCAATGCAGCATCAATTTTTACCTCCCAAAGCCCGCACGTCAGAAAAAAATCGATTTTAAAAATTGGCAATTCTGTAATCAAAAATCTACCTTCAAAGTGAGTCATTACATCAAAATCATTCCTTTGAAAAATCTGACGTGGGGAAAAAATCATAGCGTTCAATCTGAGGAGCTCTTGTTATTGTTGCTTGCCTTTCCTGGACTGAAATCAATGGGCAACAAACAAGACAAATCAATGGGGATTTTACATGGCTGAGAACAGGGCCAAGTTCTGTAA